TATTTTTCAACTTGTGTCAACATGAAAATGTCATGGATCAAAGTGAGTTTTTGCCAAATTCAAACCTTCGATTCTCCCTAACCATAAATGATTTTGGAGAGTTCTTGGACATTTTGGAAAGCTTGTAACATGATCTACAATCCACATTTGAAATGCATTATGATTTCCAAGTGGAACTAGGTGAAAATTTTCCATGAAGATAGGTCAAAATCCTGCCTAAACTAGGGCAAAATTTCACTAAGTTAAAAGTTTCATGGACCCTTGTTCCAAAACTCATAGCTTGAGATCCAAGATTCTTTTGAGAAAACTTTGTTAATCAAAGTTTTAGATTTTGTGGAGGACTACAAGTTTCATGTTGGAAGTTTTGTTTGAATCCAATTGCATCATGGTGAAAAAGTTGGGCAAATTTGGGAAAAATAAGAAAATTTCATAACTTGAAAAAATTCTAAGTTATGAAATTTTTCAATCTTAAACCCTAATTTGCAAAATTAGGCTTCTTGATGAACAAGTTTCATTTTTTGACACATCTTGATGAAAAATGACCCTTGGTACTTGATTTTTACCAAAAAGTCAAAGTTTGACTTTTCAGTGTACAGTTGATTTTTGATCTGTTGACTGGAAAATTCATCTGTCAATCCAATGCCTTTGAGATCTTTTGAACCTTGTGAATAGGTCAAGATGATGCCATTGAGTCCTTGAATCCATGCTTGAACCCAATTTTCTATTGGCTAGGTTAAAAGTCAGAAATTTCCCTTCTGCAGTCAAAACCCTGAAAATGACCATTTTGCCCTTTTGATGATCTGATCAAATTTCTTGAGGAGTTGTGGTCCAAACTTGATCAAATGGTTTATATGAGCCTATAATATTGATGTGGATTAAAATTTATGAGGTTTGACTGTAAATTGGCCATAGTTGACTTTTTCCTCAATACAGTTGATTTTTAGGTCAACTGTCCAATTGACTGGGCAAAAATTTGATTCAAGGCTTGAAACTTGGTATGGGAAATCTTATAAGTCCAACATGAAGCATGAAAGTCACATTGAGCATTAGAAGTCCAAAATTCCTTGTGCAAACTCAAACCCTAATTTAGGTCAACAGTGCAAGGAGATGTCTTGAGCAGAGCAAACCCTAGCTTGGTCTTGAGTTCAAAGAGTCTTGTGAGGAGAAATCTTGATAAAATGAGAGGGAAAATTTTGGGGTACAACATAAGTCAATGAGTTATCGAGGTGGATCATCACAAGATGAAAGCCATACAAGAAATCTTGGCTCCAAGAATAGAAAAAAGAGGTTCCTGGTTTCTTAGGAATATTGAATTACATCTCATGGTTCAAATCACACCTAACTGCCACTTGCGAACCTATATTCAAACTACTTAGAAAAGATAAATCAGTGGAGTGGAATGAAGACTTCCAGACAACCTTTGAGACAATAAAGCAATATTTACAAGAACCACCAATCCTGATGCCACCAGTTCCAGAGAGACTACTTATTATATACCTAACAGTGCTTGAAGGATCTATTGGATGTGTATTGGGTCAACACAACAAAACAGGTAGGAAAGAGCACACCATCTACTACCTGAGCAAGAAATTTACGGACTTGAAACCCAGTACTCACTTCTCGAGAAGAATGGATCCTTTGAGATATGTGTTTGAAAATCCAACTCTTACAGGAAGAATTGCTCGATGGCAGATGTTATTATCTGAATACGACATCTAATATGTTCCTCAAAAGTCCATCAAAGGCAGTGCGCTAGTTGATCACCTGGCTCATCAACCATTGACAGAATATCAACCAATGAAGTTTGACTTCCTAAACGAATACATCATGATTATAGACGACTACAAAATACCAGAACCTGGCGAAGGACCTGAACCAGAGGCACGATGGACACTAATGTTTGACGGTGCTTCAAATGCACTAGGACATGGTATTGGGGGTGAATTGACTTCTCTAAAGAAGTTTCATAAACCTTATACTGCCAGGTTATGTTTTGATTGCACCAACAATATTGCTGAATATGAAGCTTGTATATTGGGTTTGGAAGTTGTTATTGATCTAAGGATTAAATACCTCGAAGTATATGGGGACTAGATGTTAGTCATATACCAAGTTAATGGTGAATGGGACACTCGACAACCGAAATTAATCCCATATCGGGATTATGTTTTAGAGCTAGCTATAGAATTTACGGAGATTACTTTCACTCATATTCCCCAAGAAGAAAATCAAATGGCAGATGCCTTGGCAACCTTTTCACCCATGTTCAAAGTAACTTGGCCTAATCATGAACCACATATCACGATCAGACATTTTGGAGAGCCTGCACACTACCTTGCAGTTGAAGAAGAACCAGATAACAAGCCTTATTTCTAGAAATCAAGAGATATTTATAGAAGCAAGAATATCCAGGAGGTGCCTCAATAATAGACAAATGAACTCTACGAAATCTAGCTACGAAATTCTTCTTAAATGGGGATGTACTATACAAAAGAAACTATGATATGGTGTTACTTGGGTGCATGGAGAAACATGAAGCAGATACACTCATGAGGGAGATCCACGAAGGAACCTTCAGGACTCATGCAAATGGACATTCCATGGCTAGAAAAATCCTAAGAGTGGAGTATTATTGGTTGACGATTGAGGCTGACTGTTACCATTATACAAAGACATGTCACAAGTGCCAAATCTACGCTGATAAGGTGCACGTACCACCAACTCCTATGAATGTCCTAAGTTCACCATGGTCATTCTTGATTTGGGGAGTTGATATGATAGGAATAACCGAACCAAAGGCTTCTAGTGGACATCAGTTCATATTAGTCACCATTGATTATTTCACCAAGTGGGTAGAAGCTGCCTCTTATGCAAATGTGACAAGACAAGTGGTTACTCGATTCATCAAGTAGAATATTATATGCAGATATGAGGTTCCTAGTAGAATTATCATAGACAATGGGTCCAACTCGAACAACAAAATGATGAAAGAGTTGTGCGATGATTTCAAGATTGAGCATCATAATTCATCACCTTACCGACCCAAGATGAATGGGGTTGTTGAAGTTACCAATAAAATATCAAGAAAATCATTCAGAAAATGGTGAAGACATATAATGATTGGCACGAAATGCTTCCCTTCACTATACATGGTTATCGTACCTCATTATGTACTTTGATGGGTGCAACTCATTTCTCTCTTGTTTATAGCATGGAGGTCGTACTCCCTGTTGAAGTAGATATTCCATCACTAAGAGTCCTAATCGAAACTAAGCTTGAAAAATAAGAATAGGTCCAAACACGACTTGATCAGCTCAACCTCATCAAAGAAAAATGCTTAACAGCTTTATGCCATTGCCAGTTGTACCAAAAGCGGATGAACAAAGCCTTCGATAAAAAGGTTTGTCATCAAGTGTTCAAAGAAGGGGATCCAGTCCTCAAGAAGACTCTACTAGCTCTTCTAGACTCACGCGCTAAATGGACATCTAAATACGAAGGTCCATATATGGTTAAAACAACATTCTCATAAGGAGCTCTTATCCTAACAATAATGGATGAAGAAGAACTACCACATCCTCTAAATTTTGACGCATTCAAAAAATACAATGTATAAAAAGCCTGCTAAGTCGAAAATCCGAACGGGCGACTTAGGAAAAAATGGGCGTTCTAGTGGATTGAAAACCCTAAAGGGAGATCCAGGAAAAAAATTAGGGACATATAAACAAAATCATTATCCCAGTGGATTGAAAACCCGGAAGGGCGATCCAGACAAAAGTTAGGAATTTTATTCAAAAAATGAACAAATAGACTGCGGTTTGAGAATTTATTACTACGACTACGAAGGGAAGGAATAATATAAGTCATCTTTCTCATATTTAAGGAGATTTAAGTTATCAAAGGACATTGGAGAAATAGCAGTATTAATTGTCATTTTCATTGCCATTTTCAAATTTTGTTAAAATTTTTGTAATCACCTCTTTTTAAGAATTGCATTTTATACTTTCACATGTTTAAAGGCATTATCATTAATAAAACAATTTGTTTTCTTAACCTTTTCCAAATTTTGTTTTCTCTTTTTTTTGACTTGTTTGCAAAATACTACGGTTACTTCTTGTATATACTACATCAAAATTATTTTGGGGATTTGACAAATAAATAAAAGCATTTGACAAAACATCAAAAAGCACTTTGGTTAGAAAAACATCAAAAGAAATCCACGCCTACGCTTGTGCCTATGATGCACTTAACAGCATCACATTGACATTGTTCACCATACTATATCAAAATACAAATCAAATTGGAGATTCCACAATAAACAACGTTGAGAAGTCAGTAACTTAAAGAACCCAATGGTCTAAAAGGAGAAAATTATCGAAAGCATTCACAAACATTTGGTGCATATACATATGAAATACATGCAAATAACTTTGGGCATCATAAACATATCCATAAGTTCCATTGGGAATCTTACATATGCATATCAATTATACATTTTATATTCCAAAGGCCGAGGCTACTGTAAAATATCTTAAGGCTTATCATCAGGTAAGTTACCTGTGCGAATCGAACATTTGAATATTAGCATATCATAAAATACATTGGTTGAGAACAAAGGCAATACTTAGAGGTACTGTGAACCAAGAATTACACTAGGCAGCATATCTACGAATTATACCCATGACCTAGTTTTTCAATTTCAACATTTCAAATTTCAATTTCAAACATCAAACCCACATCATTTATCAACAAGCAAAGGTGAATTACCAATCTCAAATATAATCGGATAATCGGAATTTAATTTCCTAAAAATAAAAAAAATCTACAAATTTTTATTGATTTTATTGTTTTTATCATGTAAAAGAAAAAAAAGTTCAACAAAACTAGACAACTATCAAAAAGAAAATACTAAAAGCAAGAACTCAGGGGTGTGAGCCAAAATACAGGGGCTGTAGAAGCAATCTGGGTGCTAGGCCCAGCCAAACAAAATCCATGAGTCTGTTTTATTTGCAAGCTTCCAAGTGTCCAAAAAAATGATTGTTGTGGACTTTAGGGGGTGCTATCCAGAATCCTGGGGCATGATCTAGTAAAGACAATTTGGATGCTAAGCCCACTGAACCAGGTCCATGATGCCTTTTTCTGCATCACAAAGCATACCAAAAAAACAAAACAAAAAAACTACACAGGCCCACCGAGTTTAGAAGCCAGCCCGGTCCGATTATCCTCCTTTATACCTAGTTCCAATTGAAGAGGAACAATGTTGCAACTCTTCATACTTCACAGCCAACACGAAACCCTTTCTTCAACCGAATTGTAATGGCACAAAAAACCTAATTATCAGCGCCGCTGTTAGCATAACCTTTATCGTCCTTAACAGCACCGAAAATCTATTTCGTTCAAACTCCATTCGTCTACCGTCAATTTGTCGTCGTCCTCCTTTCATCGGTGACTCAACTGTTGTCTTTCTCTTCTCATCGGCTCTGACTTCTTATGTTTTGAACTTTGGTTTACTTCCTCTGTCCGAAGATGAAGAATTAACGGAAACGATAAAGAGGGGATAGCAATTTAGGCTTACCTCCCATAGTATTTCCGATGGTTCTTCAAAGCATCGAATCGGTGAGAACTCCTCAGAATATCAGGTACTGACATTTTACCCTTATTTTGAATTCGCATTTTATATGCACTTCATCCTCTTCAAATTCCTTCTACGATTTTTTTTCTCATTTTCACCGTATTTTATATGAAATTGCCGCTTTATACGATTGGAAGATCGTTGAGAATGATGACGAAGTTGTTATTGTTTGCAGATGACGCTTGAGGCGTGATGAAGCAGTGAAGGTTGAAGCAGAGAGAACGTATAGATTGCAGTGATAAGATTGAGATTTTTTTGCTGACCTTTTTGGTGATGATTGTAAATTGGAAGCGCGGTGATGTTACATATTTATGATGATGATGCTTATTGAGGTTGAAGGTGAAAATTGAGGAATGAAGGTTGCGAGACGTGGACCAAAGTTGATGAATTGAGAAAGAAGATAAAGGTGGAATGGAAATGGAATAGAGAGGGTTTCTTTTTTGTTGGTAATTCTTCTGTGTATTGCAAAAGTGAAGAATGAAGATTGCAATTATGCCAGTTCAGAGAGAGAGAATTCTTTTTGTGGTTTTGCGATTCTTCTGGTGGAGTGAAGAAAAAATGACTGAGTCCAGGTAAGCTTCTCTTTTTATATTTTTGTTAGTGTTGTTATCTGTAACTGATTCGGTTATAGTTAGTTTGTTGGGAGGTAGTTATTAAAAAATTGACAGTTAGGATAGTTAGAGTTAGTTGATTGAATGGTTAGCTATGGATTCTGTTATAAACTGAATGGTCATGATTTATTCTAATTTTTGAGTTAGTTACAGGTCTTTGATAGAATTCGGTTACGATTAGAAACAGTTAGGAAGTTGAATAAATCTGAACCGTTAATGTGAATGTTACTTAGGGATTTTGATGGATGAGATTGGAGGTGGTAGTTAGTTAGAACTTGGCTAACCATTTTTCTGTTATGGTTAGTTTATATTGCAGCTAATTTGAAACTGAATCAGTTAAAATCTTTTATGAATTGGTTAGAAGGTTAGGGAGTTAGTTAGATAACACGGAATTTTGTTACAAGCTGCTAATTGTTAGTACATTATTATGATCAGCTCATTTTCAAATGCTGATAACACCTTCCCAGTTGTAGCTGCAGCTTCTGCCATCTGGTTCACATCTATTAGCATGTCAACGAGTGTTTTGGAGGCCATAAGACATGAGATCTTCTTATTCCACCGGGAAATGCTACTATTTTAAACATGTCCTCCAACTTCATGAACTGTCCAATTTGAGAAACAGCCAAGTGAGCATAGCAGATTGAAGCAACAATCAGATATGGCAGTAGTACTCCCCTGAGGTATCTTCCTTTTTGTAATGAAGATGGCTTAATTTTGTGCATGAATAAAGGGCGGTTCATTTGAAATTTTTTCTGTTATTACTCTATTTGAATATATGCAGGACAGCGAATACTCATGAGCTGATTCCGTATCTAATATTCATTTCTGGCGTTTTCTTTCGCTTTATTGGACTTTGAAAAATGGGTGCGAGCTGCTAACCGATGGAATGACAGATATTGTGTCAGCAGTTGGTTTTGTGCAGGTTTGATCAACTTGATTCTGACTTTGAATTGGCGGTTGAACTACTGATTGATTTATTCTGCCTGATTATTTCTGATTTTCCCATTTTTTGGAAATTCTCAATGCAGGTTTGTAATGGCATAGGCACAGTTTAATTTCCTTTGCCATGGATCGAAACAGGTGTGAACTGGTTTAACTGCTTTGCTTCATGATTAATTTTGAAACCAATTTGTCTGCATGTAAATTGTTGTTGTGCGAAACTGTTTGGTTAATTGACAGTGTATAGCTTGAAATTTGAAGAAGACTTGAAATTAGAGTCAAGGAAAATTGAGAAGATAGCATGAGAGGTTGAATATGGCATGAAGAAATACCAAGGCAAAGCAATTTGTTGTTTGGGCTAAGTGAAAGAGAATTTGAAGATGGATATTTGGCACGAACATGGAAGCATGAAGATGTTTGGATATTAGGATTTTAGGCTTAGAACAAAAGTTTGTGTAGTTTTTTTGTATGATGTTTAGACATGATGGTCATGGTTTTGTAAATTGGATTTATGGTTTGTAAATGATAAACATTGTAAAACTTGAATAGTGGATGTTGAACTTGGAATTTGAACTTTTACATTTGAAACTTGTGATTTTGCATTATGGTCACCTGGACGGTGAATGAATTTTGGATATGTGATCTTGAAATTTGAAATAGCCTTGAATAATTCTTGAGTTCCCTTGTATATGCATGAACTTGATATTTGCTCTAAATTTTAAATAACTTGTTTCTCAAGAAATCCACATGAATCCTTATCTAGCCTTGCATTCTTGATAAATTAACTTTAATCCTGTTTTGAACAAAACTTGAATTCACATGATATTTATCTTGAAATAATCCAAAGTAAACTTTATGATCAGAATTCAAACTTCTTGAATGAACCCTAAAGCAAAGGACTTATATCATAAGCCATGAAGCGAGCCGAATCTTCAATTGATGACCATGAACCAAGTGGTCCCTAACACCCTCTGTCCTTCGTGAAAGAATGGATCCAACCCCTTGATCCCATCAATATTGTGTAACAAACAATAAGATAACCCAACCTACTTGATCTTAATGAGTTTACAATGCCATCCTTATATCACGCCTTATCATCCCATGAACCTCCATTGAAAATGTTGATAAACCCAAGTACGATAGGATATAAACCCTAATCTTTCTTTGAATGGGAGGAATCCCCTTGAATCCATAAAAATCCTAATTCCACTCTTTTACTAATAGAATGAAAATCATGAATATCAAGCTCTATTTTATATGCACTCCTCAAAAGAATGTAAAAACCCTTAATCAAATTGCTTCTGGAAGTAACTTGAAAGATGGATTTGCCTTGGTAAAAGAATAAATTCCCAATGCTCATAATTACAAACCCTAATTCCTTAAACTAATATTGATAAAGAAACACATTGAAAACCCTTGATTAAAAACAAGATCTTCAGAGCTAAGGAAACCCTAATTCTTCAGTTCAACACTTAAGAGAAACAGGCGAATCGGTCTTATTTGATATGTACCCCTCAAAGTACTATGAAAAATTATGGCATTGCATACCTGCTGAACTTTTGAACCCCTGTGCTTTATTCAATGCAAAATGCATGTTATATTAATGCAGATGACCAAATGAAAAGATGTGAATGCAAAAGCCTAAGCCAGATAAAAGTGAAATTAGGAGGGCAAATTTTGGGGTACAACAATTCATGGTAGAAGAGGTAATCTGAAAAACCACTTAGCTTTGATGATTGTTGTTGTATTGAATTTTTGGAAATTTGGGGTTTGGGGTTCATAATTAGGGTTAGGGTTCATGTACCTATGGTTAAAGTTCATCCTCGAAACTTGGGGTTTTCTGAGAAAAACAGATGAAATCCCAGGCGGTTTTGCATCAATACGGCAACCTCAACAGCCGTTGGTGGTGGTCCGACATGATTTAGGTTAGGGTTCTTCAAATAGGGTTAGGGTTCTTAGGATATGGGGTTAGGGTTCGTGTAGGTTTAAGATTCTGATTGAAGATCAACTTAAATTTGGGGGTTTATAGTGGTTTATGATGGGGTTAAGGGTGGCTTTGCCATAGTGGCGATTTTCGGTGAGGCTTGATGGTAGAGAGAGGTAGAGGACAAGAGAGAGAGAGAGAGAGAGAGAGAGAGAGAGAGAGAGAGAGATAGAGATAAAGATACAGAGAGAGAGAGAGAGAGCTTAGAGTTGAGAAAAATGGCTTGTAAAAATGAAAAATGTGAAGGCAGCAAACCGATATACTCCATTCATCTTCACATGGATTTGCAACATGTGGTCGTCTACTGGCAACATGATATGAATAAACTGGTTGTATTTTATGCACGCTTACCTATGGTACACCCTGGTCAACCTTCCATCATAGCCCTCCATTTGTCTTACTTTCAATCAACGCTCCAGGATTAACTTTTGAGGACCCTTTGATTGAAATCAAACATTCCAGATCTCACTGCAATACCATAACACGCTGCACTTTCCTCCTCGGAGTCTAAACGGGATCCATAATTTGTTTTGGGCCCGACCCTTTCTATTCACACCCTTTATATTACTACGTTAACTGACACAACACCCCCTGCGTATTAAACTCAATCTAACACTTTGGGCTTAAGCTCTTATTATTTAAACCTCCCTGTTTGTTATGCTTAATAGAAACTAGCACCCCCCTGTTTAATTTATTTAATTTTATTTATTTATCTTATTTATTTAATCTATTTATTTTTTCATCAATTCATTCATTTATTATGATCATTTTGCATTATATCGTTTTTCACCATTTGCATTAAAATAATATTTTTCTGTTATTATAAATATGGTTTATTTTTAACGAATAAATGTTATATTTTTAGTAACTATTAACAACTTTTATTATTATTATAAATATATAATTTATTCTTGATAAATATATAATATAATTATAATAATCACTAACTATTTTCTAAAATTACTAACCATCTTATTTAAATTATTAAACTCTTTTTTTTACTAATTTCCAATTTTATCATTGAAACTTATTTCAAAATTACCTCATGCATTTAAAATATCTAACCCCTCAAACTTAACATTTTCTACTAGCATAATTTCAAATTCATTATCATTTTCAAAAAAGGGGATTATGGATTTACTTTTAAAATTAACTGCGAACTACGTCTACGACTATACTATTTTCAAACCCAGACAATGTCCAAGGATAAACTCGAAAGCATGTATACAATCCTATAAAAAAAACACATACGAACTACGAATTTGGACTCTGATTCTTCGCAAGGAGGTACAGGCGTGCGGTTAAAACCAAGGCGAGTCCCATAATTAAAAAATTAAACATTTTCTTATGTAATTAATAGTAACATACTATTAAGTGGAAATTCCTGATCTACCCCTAAACCTAAAATAGGATGCCCCTAGAGAATAAGGGAGATGAAGGGTGCCTAACACCTTCTTTTCGTCTAACCAACTCGAAAACTTAGAATCTCTTAATGATTAGGGTTATT